TGCGAGCACCAGGTATGAAATACTTTCAACGTCACAATCCATAGAACAACGCCACAATGCGCCATGGAATGGGAGCTGTACAAAGAATATGACCGTAATTATGACATATAATATATTGAATATATATCATAGAGTAACAAGAATACGACTAACACGACTTCGCAACAACGCCACTGACGCATTATTTCCAACACACAAAATCATCATCCGACAGAAAGTAGAACACATCATCGTCGTCAGCCATTATACCATATTGCTCTCAAGCTTACCTCCTTCATTCTTCATTCTACCTTCTTCTTGTCAAAACCAACCACCATGAAGTTTACAATACTGTTTTCACTAACACTCCTTCAAGGATGTTTAGCTTTCATTCCCAACAACAACAACAACAACAACAACAACAACAACAACAACAACAACAACAACAACAAGAAGAAGGCAGGGAGAGGAACCACGACACTGCTACCGGTAGATTCCAAGACAACTCAACTTCCAATGTTTTTTGCCGAAGAGGTGCCGAAAAAAGAGGAAGCTACCAGCAACAAGTTTGATGCAGAAACAGTGGATCTGGTATCGAGTCAAAATGAAAGATACATCAACATGGTGGGGGCCTTTCTCGTGGACAACTTTTGGTTGGGTTCTATGCACCACGATGTCAGCGGAGACATGATTTCGGATACTGCTAAAAGAAGTCTGGTCATTGAACAGAGTGCCGATCTACAAGAAAAGTACGGGGAGCAGATGGGGGTCAGGACTCTGGATGGGCAGATTCTAAGCGTGTTGGATGCCGAGACAAAAGACATGCTCGCTGTGGTCACTCTCAAGTCCACGCTCTTGGTGGGAGAAACTGTCATGGAATCCGAACGAGCCGAGAGTATAGCCAAGAATGCGGTTGCAGCCTTGTCTCCTCAACTTCGCAGAGAATACAAAAAAGCTTCTATTCAAAGGATTGCAGATGAACTACTTCCCGAAGATACCCAGGCGATTGCCCTGGTTGCCAATCTTGCCGTCGCATCGAGTGCAAGAGGTCGTGGAATTGCCAAGTATTTATGCGACGAAGTGGAAGATCTAGCAAAAAGCTGGGGATTTTCCGACATTTGGCTCATTGTCGAATCTGAAAATGCTGCGGCTCGTAGCCTTTACGAAGGCAAACTCGGCTATACGGTTGCCTTTGGTATCGAGAATGATGATGCCCTGCGTGCAGATCCTGCGACGGGCGAATTCGAGGAAGTTCAAGTGGACAGCCTTGTGATGAAAAAGAGTATATAGATGCGTGTTTTGTTTCCCCTTTTTGTGGTTTCCAGCGACAATATGGTAAGCATGAACAAGCAGGCATATTCATGCATTAAGATAGAGCCATCTGCCATCGGATTAGTATATCATAAAAAGAATAAAAAGGTTCTCGTCAACCATCAAACATGACACCAAGGACCGTTAAGTCGAGATAGTATCGATTTAATATTTTAATACTGTTTTATCCACTACTTCTGACTGGCAATCTACACATCCTGTCTTTTTCTTAACTTGTTGCTATTATTAATCATGAAGAGGAAGTAACAGTAGTAAATTGATAAAGGCTATAGTACACTACTAGTAGGTATATGGGCGAAGGGGTTTCTTCTTGGACTTGGCTAGTGTTACAACTCTATGGCGGCCCACCAGCTCCTTACACAAGCTCGCTAAACTGGACATATTGTTGGCTGCTGGCCAGAGCAACCATCATGGAGTAACGACAGCAGCAGTACAAGTACGGTGAGTCAACCATTTTTCCATTGTTTCGTCGCGGTGCAAGACCTTTTGATAAAAAGAGGCTAACACTGTGTCTCCTTCATTGATCATTTTCCCTCTCTGATGTTGATTAGAAACAAGCTCAACAGACAATCCACGACAAGATACTGTACGCCACAGAGATCTACAAGATGATCCGCCCTCCGTACGGGCAGCGGCAGTGTCTTCGGCTCCCCTTTTGATGCGGTCCTACAACTTGCTACTCTCATATATTATCTCTCCAAGCCCTCGGATCCCATCTCTTTCATGAGCTCGTGCAATACCGTCCTTCTTCAACGTATATGCCTCTTCCAGAACTCATTTGTTGCATGTTCGTGTACAATGGCGCTTTCTGATGCCTTTCTTGTTGTTGTTGCTGCCTGTCCTATGTGGAAGACTCCTCCTCACGTCGGCTGGATTTAATGGAGGCTCTTTGTCATTGATTTCTTGTAGTGTTTTTGATATCTTCAGTTGTGTTTGTTGAATGCGATTTGTGCGCAGCTCCGCCGTCATTATATTCCTCTCTTTCCACTTGCTACTTCGTTGTTGCTCTTGTTTTCTGTGCATTGTTATAGGAGCCTTGGTGATTTTATGAAGTCGTTTGTCTTTGATGATGTTGCAGAGCGTCTTAAAATTTGCAGTTTTCCCTCTTCGGTGCTCGTATACCTCTGCCTTGTAATGTTGACAACCATTAGTATCAGTCCTGCTGCATCCCACTCGTTTGGCTTTGCATTTTCTTTTGTATGCTTACTGTACAGTACTATCTTGTTCTGTTCGTCGACTTCTCTAATTGTCGTACCTACTATTATTACTTCATCCTGCTCATGTGCGCCGTCCATCTGTTTTCATACTCTTTGTCGAGGAAAGAATCACGATGAGGGGTCAAACAAATGGTGATATTCACCTTATACTTCAAGGAATATGTACATTCGTAATGAGCCATTTTTTGTTGATGTTGCGTCTCGAATATTTGTCATTGTGCATCGCAATGCCAATCAACCTTCAAGTTTCATCGAGTTGTTGCTGCAATAACAGCGGATCTTGCTGACAGTGCGAAATCATGAATGTTTGCGAGACCATGATCCATGATGGATGGACGAGTTGATTGATTGATTCATTCAATCCTATACCACAGACACGGAATACTTCATTTCGATACAACTTCCTCCGAGAACCGTTCAATATCGTGTCGAAACTCGTCCTTCTGTCGTAGGCCACTGATCAGTTCTTGACACCATTCTGTGCCATGCGCTGCTCCCAACACACACCCTAGCAATGATCCGCGACTAGTGGAATCTCCTAGTAAATTAGCATTGATTTTCAGCGCCTTGGCGGGATCTTCAAAATACTTGTACGCCAAGTACAAAATGGCAGGCACTCCATGCTCCGTGTAGCAGACGGTTCCTAAGAATCCTTTGCGTCCAATCACGTTAGAGTCGGGGACATCCATGTACAAGGAAGGATCGAATACCACTCCTTCTCGCCGTTTCGTATGCAACTTATACATTTCGTCGTTGGGAATATTACCGGGACCACGGGCCTTGTTGTATCGTCGCAGTAAGGATGCCCCTGTGACGGCAGGCAGTGGGAATGACTTGGCCGCATCCAGAATCAGCATGCGACGAGGATCGATGGCTTCTGGGACTAAGCTGGACTCGGAAGGATCACCGCTGTATTCAGACTTTTGTTCTCGTTTCGGCATCCGACACAACTTGACAACCAAGGGTGCCAAGATTGTGACTGCCTCTGAAACGTTTTCACTGTTGTGCGTTTTCCTGTGGATTTCAATCGAGCGTGCCACCATGTCCTCCATGGATATTTCAGGGCTATTGGCAAAAGACAATGCTGTCATCAATCCAGGAATAACACCGCCCATACTCCCAACACTCCAACACTCTTTTTGAGGAACTGGGCACTCCGCCAGTGGCAGTCCTTCTGAAAGACGTTCAAAATATCGTCGAATGAAGACATCGCGATATATATCATTGTTCAGCGCGGGTGACGGCGTTTGGATAAAGTCAACAAAGGATTGTGCCCAATCATGGTTTTCAGAGCCATCCTTTCCCAAACACTTTAACAAAACCCTTGCCCACTGCATTTGTAGTGTAACATCTCCTCCTTGCAAACCCTAATGATAATGCGGATTCTCCTCTGGCGGAGGTTTGCTGTCTTGGACATACTTCTGAACTCCGTGATAGATATCGATGTTACCAGAGTACGTCATACTCCAAGCAAAGGCATCGGGGTGAGGATGCTTAGGAGCGTGGTAAGTTTGGATACCGTCTGGTCCAAAGTCTCGTTCAATCGTTCCTGGCGTATAGTACCAGCAAGGGCATCAGCAATCAGCTTCCCCAGAGGGATCCTTGCACATGATCCTGCATGGATGACATTATATATGATATGTTTTGTGCGGGCGCTGAACAAATATTTAGTCGACTGAGTCGAACATTGGAGTTGGTCGACGGAGTCGGAAATAAAACGACCAAATTCGGCATCGGGTTGTAGAACACCAAACCCCACCGTACATCTCAGTTTACCCACAAAGTAATAAGCAAAGCTGCCTGGGAAAAGAAGACGGGCCACTCTGCAGATTATGACATATCTTTCGTTTTCTGCGCCCAAGCCGAGTGAGTCAGTCGTCGAAGCGACAACGTATTTTAGGCGAGTCCGTTTTGCCCCACCCGTTTTCGGGAAATCCGGCTTCGAAAACGGGTTTTCCCGAAAACGGACGCCGGCACGTACGGACTGTTTCTTCCCGAAAAGTCGATCTGTTTTCTTGGATGATGAAACTTAATACACAGTATACGAGGACAGAGTACCTTGTCCTGTACCTGGAACCAGTTCTTCCTATCGTGGCATAATTATTATAATATCAATGGACGACGAAAGCCTTTTTGGAGCTGATCTCTTTGGAGAGGAGGTAAGCCCGGGCTTGGTTGCATGCATGGCTTGCAATTGATCAATTTGATCACTGGAATCAATTCATCTCTCTCAATCAATCGATCCTTGCAATTGCCACTATAAATCCGCTCCCCCTTAACGAATTCCATCCTAGCCGGATTGGGCAAACGATGATTACCAATCTCAGGGACAAGATGGCACCGAAGGTCCTCTAGACCAGGGTGCTCAGCACGTTCTCATGCTTCTAGACTGTCGTGTTGATATGTTTCGAACCTTTGGCGCCGGTAACGATAAGTCTGCAATGGACAATGGGTTGCAAGTTGCCAAAGCCCTCTTGCAGGATACTGTTCGCACCACGGTTTCACAACGGACGGGAAAACGCAATGGAATCGGGATTGTTCTATTCAATACCAAGCGACAGACATCGTCGAAAACTGCAATGGAAGAAGAGGACTGTGACGACGATGATGGAAAACAAAATCAAGGAGTTCATATATTGATGCCATTAATTCCGCCCGGAATATCACACGTTCTCGATTTGAATCAGTGTTTGGAAAAGGAACGCAATGTGCAAGAAGAATTCCAACAGGAATCTCAGGAAAATTCGGGCGACATTATGGCACCCCTGCAAACTGCATTGGAGGTTTGCCAGGACATGTTCAAGAAGGCCAAGTGTGTCAAGGACGCATTCTCCAACAGTAACCCAGTCGTTGATTCCAAGTCAATTTGGATCTTTACGTCGCATGATAACCCATATCCTGGAGCCTTGCAGCAGATGAAAACAATCGCTGACGAAGCCAAAGAACAAAATGTCAAGATTATAGTGTGGCCCATGGCCACTGGTGGGAACAGTGAAATGGAGGACGTTAGTGACGGAGATAGTCCAAGGGGCTACAACGATCCATCGTTTGACCACTCACTATTCTACCAAGATATCGTTTCCTCTGCACCTTTTGCAAGTCCCATGTCAACAATGGAAGAGTTCGAGGAAGCCTTAGAGGAACTTCGTCATGATTACAAGAAACCGCGACGAGCCTATTACGGCCCGATGCGCTTGCCTGATTGGAGGAAACGGATCCTTGATGAGAAAGACGCTCAAGACGACGAGGACAAGGACAAGGACACTGCGATTATGATCGATTGGTTCAAATTTGTGCAATTGGCAAAGAAACCAAGCACCGTCCAAATAGATTTGCAAACAAAACTGTACGTCACTAAAATTATGGCTTCATTGGGACGGGCTTTTGTTGTGATTGGTATAACCTCATGCTTGTCATACCGTCATACAGAGAGACAATCAAGGTCACTAACCTGATTGACGACCATGGTGAGGTTCTCGCAACAGTCAAGCGAGGCAATACTTTTGATAGAACAACCTCAGAAACAATGCAACCTGGGTTACATCGTATTCGAACTTTTGCTGACTTTGCTGGAGAATTGGTTCCTATGTCTCAGTCGGAAATGAAAGAACTGAAGAATGCAGCCAGTGGAAAATTGGATAGCTCCAACCTGGTTCTCCTTGGCTTTCGTCCATCACATTTGATTCCATTTTACCACGCCATAGATTCTGCTTATCTTGTTTATCCCCAAGTTGATGGCAACGATCGAGAGGCGCAGCAAGATAATCGAAATGCATTCATCAATCTACGTGCTGCTATGATCCGCAAGAATGTCGTTGCAATCGGAGAAGTGCTCTTTCGTGTGGGCTGGACGTCCAAACTCGTAGTCATTCGTCCACTGCATGAGCTGCTGGATAAAGAGGAAGGTACTCAACGACTCCCACCTGGACTTATGGTAGTTCCGTTGCCCTTTGAAGACGATATTAGGGAGCCAGAGTTGGATGAAGCTATGAAGGAGCTCCGCCTTCAGTCGACGATGGCAGAGGGGTTGGCTAGAAATGGTGCCAATTTGGAAGACGGGGGTGCAGCTCCTGATCTCACTTCCTCTCTTTCCACGAGCATTAATCTGATGGAAAATACTCATACTGGCTATGTTGCCTCGGAAGAACTCGTGCAAGCGGCGATGGATGTGATTGAGAAACGAACTGTCGACGAGGATATACAACTTGGTGAAGATCTAGAGAACGCTGCATTGCAGAAATTTTTCGATTACATTGAGGCTATAGCAATGGAAGATCCTTTCTTTGAAGCAAGGACTGAATTCGATACCGAAGTACCTGATGAGGACGTATTGAAAGCGGCCGGAACGCAAATTGAACGGTTTAAGATACTATTGCCAGATGATGCTGAAAAGCCTAAGGTAGCAGGACGAAAGCGGAAAATGGTCGAGGATGATTCTGGTATAAATTGGGTGGAATTATATGAAGAAGGCGCACTAGACTCATGCAAGTTACCCGAACTGAAGAAATACCTGCGCTCAATTGGGGAAAAGTTGTCGGGAAAGAAGAGTGATCTTGTGTTACGGGTACAAGAGCACATCCACAAGAGCCAGAAGACAATCAAGGTTAAGAGGGAAATCTAGAAGGCGTGACGCGTGGTCTATTGGATTTGTTTCCACTGTCACATAGCGTGTATCTTCGTGCTGGCTATTTCCACTGCTAGACTAACATTGCACTACTATCGAGCAGATGCGATATGGACAGATTTGTATCAACTCCAAAAAATCTGTAGCATGCTGCTCTTTTTTGATGACATGTCTTGTCCAAGGCTCATGAGTGGCTCTTTCCTGCCGTGTTGTTGACTCAAGTATCTCTTGCGGATAAAATATAGCATAACAATTGCCAGAATGATACCAAAAATGATACCAAAAATGATGAGGAATAAATCTTCGACAGTCAAGTTAGAGTCGTCAAGCAAGGATGTCGTTCTTGTGTTGTACGTGTATATATTGTCTTTCTTGGACTGAGTACTAGTTGTATGCGTCTCTCCATCGTCCACTTGATTATTGATATGTGGACCATCCAGAAGAACTGAAATATGTATATTTACCATCCTGTGTGATGACATCCTGCGATGCAGAGTTACCGTCGTCGTCGGTGGCTGTATTTGCACATGTTCCTCCAATATTGTGAATACTTCCTTCAAAGAGGAATTGGCAGCCGTCTTTCGCCTTCAAATAACCAGACTTATCATATTCGTAGCTGCTGTAATTTCCCCCGTTGTCGTACCCTTCGTTGCCGTAGGGGACCGTGTACTCTGTCTCGCCACAGCCAACCTGCTTTGTGAAAAGAAACAGGACAAGGTTCTTCGTTTTGGTTTAGTAAAAGTATGGCAGTGTACCTTCAACCAAGATGCTCATGAAAGATTTGGATGGATTCCAAACAGAACATTCCTCATCCATGAAGATGCCAACTTCAATTCCAGTCCCATCGGCATTGCACATGAGGCCCGCGTACAACTCGTTGTATATTTGGCTATATGTTTGCTGCTGTTGTTGCTTTTGTTTGCTACCATTGCCATTCTGGCCGTTCATGTTGTAGTAGTTGCCATAGTTCACTTGCTCGCATTCAGAAAGTCCTCGGAACCATTCAATAGCCTTATAGTTGGTATACTCCCCTTGGATGTTGTCATAATTGTTGGTGTCTCGGGGTGTACGTGCTGCTTCGCTCGGCGCAAACGCTCAGTATACCGGTACTGTTACTGTACCGCATTTAGGGAATATAACAATATCTACTACCGGTATCACAAATGATCCCAAACCCTCAATAGGTACACGTACTTTACTGTACTGTACGTCGCGCCCTCTGAGTATCATACCGTACCATGCATGGTACCTAGTACTCATCATCGTACTGTTGTTAAAATAGGCGACAACAATAGCGAAGAAGAATACTGAAAATGCAAGGAGTGTTGTTGTCGAGGTGGTGGTGGTTGTTGAAAAAACATTATATGACAGGAGAAGCGCATATGGGTGCATGCACCAGTGAGAATCACAATCTCGGATTGTCCCACGCATATCGATTCGCGACAGGATGAGCCAAACAGACACAGGTCTCGCAACGCAACTTGAACATTGGTCAGGCAGAACACTGCTGATCGGTGACATGATGTGGTTGGCCGACGGTCGTACAGTAGAAGTCTGCAAAATAGGACTATACAGTAGGAGAGGCACAATTCCGAAATTTCAGTCTTTTGTGATTGATCGAGTGCAATCAAAACTGTATGCAGCTCCCATATATTTTATTATCGGGCAATCTGGTCATGGTCATATGTCATATCCCCCTTCCACTTCAATTTGTTTGGACATAGCTTGGTCAAATGTGATGGCACTGCGTCATCTATGACTTCCGTAGTAATTCATGAAGAACATAAACATAAAAAGGATTGGGAAGAGTACTGTGGGTGCAAGTGATGAATTGAATCTTCATTGATTCATTGATTTCCGAAAGCAGCTTTTGGAAAAAATCTCTTCAAGAACTTTTTGGGGAACGCGAAGACTATCGAAGATAGCCAACTGGCGCCTTCTTTTCGGGTTCTTCTGCTTGGTGCATTCTTGGAGTGACTCTGGTGGGTTGTGGTGTGAAGCTGGTCCTTTTGAGTTGCGCGCGAAGCGTGCGACTCAAAGGACCAGTCTCAGATTTCCCGTAAGACGTGAAATCTGAGACTTGCTTGTCTGCCAGGCCTTGACACGAAACAATCGTGTCAAGGCCCAACAGGGTGTGGTGGGATGGGAAAGAAAGAAATAACTCTATCTTTCTGTCAGTATACTTGCACACAAGTTCGATATGTGTAGATCGGACTTAGGTTGCTGGTGCAATACTGAGATGACGGTCGCCCTACCGTCGTTCATGGAGTCACTATTGAGTCCATTGGTTCGACCGCTTTCTTCCGTCTACGTTAGACTATCGAAGATAGCCAACTGGCGCCTTCTTTTCGGGTTCTTCTGCTTGGTGTTTTCTTGGAGTGACTCTGGTGGGTTGTGGTGTGAAGCTGGTCCTTTTGAGTTGCGCGCGAAGCGTGCGACTCAAAGGACCAGTCTCAGATTTCCCGTAAGACGTGAAATCTGAGACTTGCTTGTCTGCCAGGCCTTGACACGAAACAATCGTGTCAAGGCCCAACAGGGTGTGGTGGGATGGGAAAGAAAGAAATAACTCTATCTTTCTGTCAGTATACTTGCACACAAGTTCGATATGTGTAGATCGGACTTAGGTTGCTGGTGCAATACTGAGATGACGGTCGCCCTACCGTCGTTCATGGAGTCACTATTGAGTCCATTGGTTCGACCGCTTTCTTCCGTCTACGTTAGACGATCGCAGCCAGACACCGCACAACCACTCAGACATCTTCAACATTGGCGATACACCTTCCGTAGGGTCCTATCGGTTTTCTTTATCAGCTTCTATTATAATCAAGGCCAGCATTGCCGGATCATATGGAATGGATACCTAACACATTGTCATGGAGCAAATTTATGCATGCCTTCGAGCTTGGATTAGTTTTCTTTAAAGTTAAAATAGCAATGTGCGAGTATAGCTATGCGTAGTGTAGGTCCTGGTTGGTGGATACCAAAGTGCAATAAGGAAAACAAAATGATTGTAAAAGTGCACTGGTGGTATCAAAAATGCGCTGAATCCCCTCCCCTCAGCAGTAGTAGAACATCAAGATAAGCTTATATATGTCCTCATAGAAGTAACATGCGCTTTTCTTGGTGCTGAAAGGCTCTCTTGTTTAGTAGTGCCGAAAGCCAATGGGGCATGCTGAGACAAGCTCCTGAAGAGTACTGACATTGCAGGTCGACTTCCTCCTCTCTGCTGTTCTCCAAGGTTTCCAAATAATCTCGCAATCCCGTCTCCGTGGCTTCCAATTGACAATGTCTTGTAATGTCGTGGTATGCCTTGGCAATCATAATCTCGGATGAATGTCGATCCTGTTGCTGTTGAGCGGCTGTGTATTGAGTTGCCAACACGAGGGCCATGGCACAGAGGCGATTCTTGAGGCAGCGTTGCAATCCTTGAGTGGTATGACGCTCCAAACCTCTTGGGAGTGGGCGAGATCTTCTTTGAGAGTGACGACCTTCCTTGTTGGCTTCTTGATGAAACCTTACAAGTTCTTTGGTCGAGTACCACTTTGTGGTATTGGTCTGTTCTTGACTTTGTTCTTGCTGGTGGTGTTCTTGAGGGTGGTACTCATGGACAATCACATTGTCTTGGAATCGGACAAAGCGTTCATCGATGAAATACAGGGGTTGCTTGAGTATTGGTTGTGCCCAACATTCACTGGACATGCGGCGCACATCATGGTCGGCGTGGACAACGTGAATTCCCCGACGAGTAGTAGAAGCGTAAGGTGGCATGATTGGATTGTTGGAAGCAGTTCTGGTAGCAGTAGTCGTAGAAGTAGTAGTAGTAGTAGTAGCTGTGCGTGTTATGTTGCTGCTGCTGGGCGCTGTGATATCAACTTCTTCCGAATTGAATGCTGGATATATGGGAGAGTGGCAAATGCTGCGCTGTTTTGGGAACTTGGTATTCTTGAAATGTGTGGGTGATACGGATAGGAGCTTTCAGGAATTGTGAGACTATCCTAATGCAAATCGAAGTAGGTTTTATGACGCTAGATGAGGGGTGTCAATCATTGATGCCAGCATACGTGGACTTTGTGATGCTCTTTTATCCAAAGTGCCGCCTTTTGATAGTTTATCATTTATTATTCTCAGAATCTGAGCCGAGTTGGGGAGAGAAAGTTCAAGAGTTTCTGGTTGTGCGTGTGTTTATGATTGGCTAGAAGGACTTCTGATTCGTCATAATCCCCATCATGGAACACTTATATATAATGATAAAGACTTTTGTGCAACTGCCGTAAACGTTTGTTAAATAACGATTCGATATCGGTCCATTAGTCCTTCGACATTTGTTCCCACTTCGTTGCAAAAGTCCGAACAAATTGGAGCAGAGGAGTAATTCCGTATCTTTACCCGTTCGGTCTTCTTGTTACTTATAATATGTATTTCTTGGCAAGTCCCTCCACCAAATAGATGCTCAGTACTTTTTATATAACAGTAGAGAATACATGCAGAATTTTTTTCTTCTTTTTTATATATAATTAAAAAAAAAGTCCTAGTCAACCACTTCGACTATGTTCCCACTTGGTGTTCAAAAGTCCGAACAAACTTGCGCAGAAGAGCTTTCTGGCGCTTAAATTGAAAATTCCGGATCTTTCAAGCCGGAAAAGCTTCCGTTCGGACTTCTGGTTTGTTATGTATTTCTGTGGAGGATTGTCAGTTCTAATCGCAAATGTGGCACTGTGAACAAAACTTCGAGAAAAATTTGGGAGCTTCCTACGCTCTACCGGTGGTAGGTGGTGCCAGTTAAAAAAGTGCCGGTGCCGAGTTTTCCATACAAACACGCAAGATCGGCAGCTGAGCCATTTTAGAATACCGGTACAGCAGAAACACACATCGGTCATTGAAGGTGACCTCAGCAGCAGCATTAGCAGCAGCAGCATTAGCAGCAGCAGCATTAGCATTAGCAGCAGCAGCACCGCAGTAAGTTTTCCCTCCTCTCTGTCACTACGGTACCTACCGCCACCATGAATCAATGAATGAATCAATCAATCAATGAATCAATCAATCATCACTTCTGAAAAGCACCAATAAAGTTTCCGGTTTGCTTGGTCTGCGAGTGAGTCAGTAGATCAGCATGTTGCGTGTTGCGTTCAACACGAGATTGCACAAATCCTTCCAAACTGAAAACATACTACACAGCATACCTCAATTGAAGCTACCTACTGCATCGAGTTATTTCTCCAATCCAGCTTTGCTCCTTGAACAATATGCCAACGCTTGGAATGAATCCTCTCGCTGTGCGTTGTACCTGGTACACGTACACTATACGCCCACTGTATGACATCTCGGTATTATATATCACAAATATGCAGGCAGCAGCGGGACGACTACGGTGGTGAGAAGAGATACTTACCGATATGATATACCGGTATTGAGCATCAAAACTGTATTACAATGCATAGTATGAGACAATCTGCCATTTGAAAGAACGATAGGAACAACCATTCATCACGACATACATACATTTGCAGTGATGATGATGATAATGATGATGATTGATCATTTCCAATCATTGAAGCAAAAGTCGAAGTCAAAAGTCTATCATTGCCAAGATTGGGCTGCTATACTGTACGGTAGTTCTATAGCAATGAAAGAATGAATGTACATACGTATGTATGGATGTCAAATGCTGTCAATTGAGGAATGATCTAACGTCTCTGGAGGAGATGATTGATTCTTCTATTCCTTCGCGTATACCTATTTCATCCTCGACACTCTACTGGTTGTGGTTGCATCGATCGATGGATAGATACTCGTATACATAATGTTGGAGCGTTCTACTCTTTCATCTGATGTTCCCTACCGTCACGATCTACTTCTTCCAAGTCGTTTGGTGAATCAAAAGTTGGCTGCTTTTCCTGCTGCTCACCAGGAGGAGAAGAAGAAGAAGAAAGATTCATTGGCGCATGTTGCAACTGTTGTTTGGCGCATGCCAATTCCAATTTTGCCTTGGCTGTTTCTTGCTGAAGCTGGTCGCGAATTTGTTGCAAGGTGGCAATGGTTTGCAAGTAATGTTGTTTGGGGTTGTTGCTATTGGAGTTGTCGGTGCGGTGAATGATGGTCGTGGTACGGTGCGAGTGAGAATTGGGCGTGCCATCCTCATTGTTGGTCGTCTTGGTGGATGCGCCGTCATCCATGACGTCTTGCATCATCATTTCATTCTGGCTTTGTTCCGAGGCATAATCAGTGGTTTCAACGGCTGTTGGAGAAGCAGCAGCAGCAGTAGTAGTAGAACTGCTTGAAGAAGCAGCAGAACGAGCAAATGGAAGTTTGGCTTTGGAAAGGGGTGTAGAATAATTGATCAATGATGATTCTTGTTCCTGCATGGTAGCTTGTAGCTGTGATGATACTCCAGTTCTTGTTCTTCCCATACTACTACTACTGCCACTACCACCACTGCTACTACTCGTAATATTCTTAGATCCCCCTCCTGGCGGCTTTTTGGGCGATTGTTCGAAAATAGCTTTTGGAGTGGAAGTGTTATTATCGCCGTTCTTCTTGCTAGTGCTGGAAAGCTCCAAGAGACTTTCGATCTCATCGCGATGTGGATGCTTGTCCAACCAGACTCGAGAGTAAGCGAACCCAGGAACCCTTGGTCTTGGACTGGGCGTCACAAAATTATGCGAATCGTCTTGCTCTTGTTCTTGTTCTTGTTCTTGTTCATCCTCATTTTCATGAGTTGGGAGTTGTTGACAAACACTGTTGTCATCACCATTATCACCAGAACCGGTTTCATTACGACGCTTCTGAGCAACAGGTGTAGCAATAATCTTGGAATCGTCTAGTGTCATTGGTAGAAAATTCAATGTGGATGAAACGTGGTTGCTCTCATGATTCTTGTAATTCTTCTTCTCCTGTTTCTTGTTCTTGTTATTGTACAATGTGAGTAACTTTGGCTCTCCTTGACGCTTTGTGGAAGATGATGAAGTATGTTTGCTACTTGGTCGACTGCCGTTGTCTTGGCAGTTTGGAATGGAGTAGGTCTCCTTCGAACGCATTTCCCTGATAATAATAATAATGCTCAACAGTGAAAACTGGAAAAGTTTGTGAAATGTGAGCCGTGTTTTTGACATCGAATTAATCGAATGAATCAATCGAATGAATCAATCGAATCATGTCATCATATATATAGGAGGCAGTAATATTGAACCGTGTGGATGCCGATTCTCCAACCATGGCACTAACTTCCGATACTTCTTGTCACATGTGTTATATAATGATGGAAACAACAATGCGATGTGATGTGGTGGGTGGCTCAGACTATAACACAAGTTGTTCAGAGCGAATCAGATTGGTTGAATAGCAGCAGTGCTACCATTGTGGCACCCTCCAAATCATGTTGGGCTGTCTTGGCTGACTGGAGTGAGTCGACTTATGGTCAATCTGGACAGAATCGAAGCAACAACACTTGCTTGCGGATCTCTTGGCTATTGTGCACAAAAAGAACTACCGCGGTACGATCAACACAACTTTCAGCGGCAGAACTTGCCAAGCATGGGACGCATAATCGCCTCAAGCACATTCTCGTACACCACTGAGGGTATCCGACTGTCGGGAATAACAATTGCCGTAACCCTGAGAAAGAGCCACGAGCCTGCCTGCCTGCTGTTACACTATATACAGATCCTCTAAAAACGATGGGAGATATGCGACGTCCTAAATTGTCCAAGCTTGTTAGAATGAACTATGTATATACACTTGTTGTATTATATAAAAATATATATATATAAAGTATTGCCAAAGCTGCTGGCGTCAGTTGTGAAATCTTTCTTGAAATCAAGTATCAAGTGTTGCGCTGACATTGACGACGAGACCGACAAAAGACTTCATGAAAATCAGCAGAACGGTGTCTTCTCAGAATCCAAATGTCTCTGTGAAGGTGCCTCCATATGTTCCTGAGTATGTTCCTCCGAATGTTTCTCCGGCTGTTGGTGAGGCTGTTGGTATGTCAGTTGGTGAGACTGTTGGTATGTCTGTTGGTGAGACTGTTGGTACGTCAGTTGGTACGTCAGTTGGTGAGACTGTTGGTATGTCCGTTGGTGAGACTGTTGGTCCGAATGTCGATGAGACGGTTGGTCCGAATGTCGGTGGGTCTGTTGGTTCGGCTGTTGGTATGTCTGTTGGTGTGTCTGTCGGTGGATCTGTAGGTTCTGACGTCGACGGTGTTGCGGATGGAGATGGCGTGATTCCGACCACAGGAGCAACTGTTGGTGTAGACGAAGGCGTCTGGCTCGGAATCT